GACTTTTGGCTTTTATTTATGCAAAATTTTAATTCAAATTAAACTGTTCAGCAGTAAGTTTAAAGGTATCTGATTCTTTAAATCCATTTTTAAGATTCGGCTTTCATAAATACCGTGGTATGAAAAGAACAAAAATACTAAAAATAATGTCCCAAGCCACTTTTTACATGCACTAAGAAGCAAGATTAAAGTATAGCAAAATTAGATTGAAAAATGTCATTTTTTTCTTTAACAATCATTAGGAATTTTTTTTTAACGTACATTTTGGTCATGTCTAATTTTAACAAGAGCAGTCCAAAGCAGCATGCAGAACTGGGTGTACAGATATATGTTGCCTGGAAATACTTTGATAAAAAAAAAAAAAAAGTTCTACTGAAGCTTCTAGTCACAGTATTTAATGATAAAGGTGCAAAACAAAGCAAAAAAAGTCCAAAATTGTTTCATTTATGGAATTTTGTAAAAATGTAATTAACGTCTTCATTTAAAGAAACAAACTAGCATTTTTAGGGTCAAAATTTGGTATTTTTTCTACTAAAAGAAAAACCCTTCTAAACCAATTAGAAAATGGCAATATGCTAAGTGATACATGAAAAGGCACAAAGAAAGAGGAAGTCCCGCAACAGTGGACCATACTGAGCTGGGTATGACACATCTGACTTCTGATTTAAACTTCCAGATGGCTCTGTAGTCTCAGGTGAAATATTCGGCTTCTCAGCCACAGAGGCTAACATTTAAGTTTCGTCTGTGCCAAGGGCTTTGCTAAATTTGACCCTTCACAAGTTAGCACCACTGGGGAAATTCACTGTACTTCATGTCCTCAGCAGTTTTTGAGGATTATTTTACTTTGGTACAGGTGTGGCAGCTGATTTGTTCATTGCAGGAATTAAGCCCGCAGCTGAACTGAATCTTACTTGGAATATGTCTAGATTATAGAAATGTCAAAGGGGTTTGCATTAGTTAATTACAGACTGCAAATTTCCTTATCTTAACAAGCATTTAACTGGCTTTGAAGAATATAAAGCAGCCTTTTTATTCTGTGTCAGGGAACATTATTTCGACACTAAATGTTATTTAGTAGTATTTCTGATAAGATCCATTCTCCCATATAGAATAAATATAATTTTCCTTGATTTAAAATCAAAGTTCACAGTGCTTTACAGCACGAGGATGAGAAACAGTTATTTTTTTAAACCATGGTCTTTCTACAGAAACAGTCACTAACAGAAAATACAAGTCACTATAGAGTTCCAAGTGTTTAGTTTATGCCCCAACTTGGCCCAGTTCTTGTCAAATAAATTTCATTTATCTATTTACAATTACAGTCACAAGGTGCAGGGGTGCCTGAACTCAAAACATTTGTGCATAAAGTCATTCATGGGGAGACGTAAGTATTAGCAAGTATTTCATGTATCAACTAACTTGCTTCAATATTTATGGGTCTGTGAGATGGGCAAAACCTGAACTCCTTACTCAGGGAAAAAACTTCTAAGAAACCCCAACCACTTCAGTAAATGAAAGTTATACAGGAGAACTGTGGAACAGTGGGAATGTAAACAACGCTGCTTGCTAGCATACTAAATCTTCCAAAACAAAAGAAAAATCACATATCAAGTTGTATAACTATAAGTTCATATTTTTATGACAGCGTAGCCATTAAGAGACTACAAATAAAAAGGCCCTAACAAAAGGCAGATAGACATAAAGCAAAAACATGAGGAAAGAAATGAAGACTTCACCAGATTTCATACAGTCCTATTCAGTAGTAGCGTAATACAAAAAATAAAGTGATATGCCAAACGAATGCTTGCTGTTGAATACATAATGAAAACAGGTTAATCAAATTTCAATTCCAATTTTGCCTGAGTAAGGAGAGCAGGCTTGGGTCCATACTCCCTTGGTGAAAGTCCTATAAAAATAAACAATATCCATTACAGCTACTGCTGAAAACTGCAGGAAATATATTCAAAACTTCTTAGTAAGATATTGAGAATACAGCATTCATTATTTAAAGCAGAAAGAGATAATGTAATTCAAAACACAGTTATTTCTTCTGCATAAACAGAACTTGGTAAAACCCTTTGAAACTTAGAGAGAAAACAGCAGTAAGCCTGTACACTTTCTCCCTCTCACAGAACATACACATGACATGTGATTTTATTAGTATATGAACACACATAGTGTACTTCGCATATATTTTTAACAGCAAAGGGAAATGATTCCAAAAGGAGTAAAACATTTTTCTATGAACCAGTTACTCTAAAGTTGAATTGTGCTTAAGTGGTGAACTTCTATCTGTTGCGAAAAAGGAAAACTTTTATACAAATGCATTGCTTGTCAAAAGCCACTCTCTTAGGTCTGATAGTAGTGCAGGACAGACACACACAAATGCTCTGAACAGCTGGGCATGACTGCAGAATCATTATTGGTCTTTTTTCAATATATTATAAAAATATTTTAAGAAACAAAACCTGCATCTTGGGACTTATCTTTCACATGGTACTTTTGCAACAAAAAATTAAAGCACAGTTCACGTTATCTCCACCGTACCTTTCCGGTGACCCTCGTCTGGACGCTGCTACAGTCCCAAAGAACAGACTATTTACCTACATAACTACGGGTCTGCTCAGACCTGAGCAGCAGCAATTTTTGCTTTTCAAGGAGAGTCGCACTTCCCAGTGAAAGGTGTGGATGAGGGATGCTTGCCTTCTCTCTAGCGGCAGCAGCAACAGAAGCTGGCTGGGACATCACAGCTGATCACCATGAACATCTCAACAGTCAGATTCACAACCACAACAAACGGGAACAGAGTAAACTGCTGTGTGGGATCAGAGAGGCCAGATGAACACAAGACTGTAAAGTAGGTTGAGGAGGAAGAAAAGTTATTGAGACTGACTGTCAGCTGCGACATCTTTTGACAAAGCCCTGAGCTGTGAAAGATGTTAGCTGGCAAACTGTCGTATGGAAAGGCTGTGATATTGTTTGTTTCACTCCTGAGCATTTAGCGTGGCATCTTGGTCTACAGTGGCTCAACTAAAGCGATAATATTTCACTGTGCAATGTGGTTTGTGTCACATTTTATGATATTAATACTGTTAGCTTTTACAATAGGGAGGTCTTAAAAATTAATAGAAGGCTGTTATAAGATTACCATTTTGTTACTATTTTTTTTTACTAAGGACAGCTGCATTGGCCAATGTTACATCTACTTTTCTGTCTTTGTATGTCTCCAGGTAAAAAAAAAAAATTAAAAAATTGCTTGAAAGAACTGCAGAACAATTCACTCTGGATGGTATATAGCAACTGCAGGCTTAAAATTCACAAGATTGTACATCAAAGTCTTGCAGCTTCTCACAGTATGTTAACAAAACTAAATGCAACTGTTTGATTTCTAAGTGGGAACGTTTCACAGGAGGAAAAAAAAAAAAATCTGTCGATAAAGATCCTCACCATCATCTGAACACTCGAACTGGACTTCCTTTTCTGAATTGACCAGTCAGAGAGAAAGGAAAAGAAGAAAATGTGACTGGTTGGATTTGAAGTATCAATGCATGGAGTACAGTATATTTCTGGTTTGGCTTTTTTCTTTTTTAAGAAAAAGACAGCTTAAGCTGTACAGAGGGGTGGAAAAATGCTATGGAGTATATAGTGTCTCAATAACAGAAACGACAAAAACAGACTTCCCCAGATGTAAATTTACTCCCTTTGCTCCACATGACCATGCAGACAAACAGCAGACACATAAAATGTGCTGAAAACCAAAGTATCAAATCCCAACAAGTGTAATTTAGGCAAAATTTTGGCAACAAATGTTTCCAATATTATAATCAAAATTGAGATATAACAAATACCATTATAGACCTGTAGGAGGAATGATATTTAAAACGAAAAAGCTGGTCAGATAGAGTACGTAAATTTTATATATTCCACAATGAAACATGTTAAGTTTTCCACAGGAACGACAGAATAGTACTGAATGTCTGCTTCTCCAAATAACCAGAGTATCTCCCACTTGGCAGCGAGAAGCACTGAAATCATAGTATACTCACTTCATTTTAAGTCAGTCTCATGATTTTTTTGATAGGAAAAGTGTGCATATGTGGGAGAACAGGAACAAATATACTATGATTCTGGTATTTAAGGATACAATGTTTTGTTACAGTAAAAAGTTAAGATTAAATAGAAAATTAAAATTCAGGTCAAAGACACACTTCTCAGTAAACACACAGAGCACAGAAGAACATCTTTTGAATCATATAATGAAAGCTCGAGGCACTTATTTTAGTCTCCAGGAGTCCTCTGATAAAAGAAATAAAATATTTTTCATTGCTGTTTTTTTTTTTTTTTCCTGGCTGTTTTTCCAAGTATTTATCCAGAATGTTCATTTGTGAAGCATCTCTCCTCCTGCAGGATCTGGTGACATCAGAATAGGAGCTCTAAATCATGTATGAAAGCTGCCAAAATGTTCCCTTCTTAGCAAGGTCTGTTAGCCACGATGAGCTGATTTGTTGAGATAGGAAACCCCTCAAGTTCTGCCAAATATAGCAAGTACATCTGGCAGAATACACCTCATGTGGAGCCAAGCCTACCAGAAAACTTTTGGTCTTCCATGAAATCTAATGATCAAGTCAAGTGGAAACACAGAAGCAACAGAGATGCAGATAAACACTGATACCTAAAAAGCTAACATGCCCACCACCAAGCTATTATTTTGTATTCTAAGCTAATTAAGAACACCGAGTCATTAACTACACAATCATCCTTCATTAAAATAACAAGAAAAGCATTTTCTCCAGTAGTTTTCTTCCACTTATTAAAACGCTTGGTTTTCAAGTGTTTCTTTTACTTTATTTTTTCAGCTTCACTTCAAATACACAGTAAGAAGCAGTTATTAACAAATTCTATAAAGGAAAGAAATAACAATAATCAGTCCTAAAAACTGGCAGAAGTTACAAATAGGTGGTGACTAATAAAATATATTTTAAAGCACGTGTTCAACCTACCTTAACTCCATCCGGCTTTTTCAGTAAACTCTTGGCTGCTGTAAAACGAGACAAATAATTTCAGTGTCAGGTGGTTACCACTGAGATCGACCAGCTGCACAGCAACCCCCCATTGCCTCCCAACTGCAGATACTTTTTCAGCTTTTATTTCCTCCTTTTGCTGCTCTCAATATAAGAAACAGAAGGTTTAAGAAACTACAAATACTTAAGACTATCATACACCTCTTTTTCCATTGACTAAAGCTGTAGGCTAACTGTACTTATACAAGGTGAGACCTCCTCGGGTGGCATAGAGCAAATGGAAGCAGGGTGAGTGGGAAGGAAGCAGCCTTTGGATACGTTCATTTTTTTCAACTGCAATATATTTACAATTGTTGATGGGGATATTTTGACGTGACTATGAAAAGGTACTATTCTGATGGCAGGGACTTTGATCACATGTTTGTAGAGCCCACTGGTATCTTAATGATGGTATTAATGTGACAGTGACATAAAAGTAACAAGTATCAGATCAATAAGGTATCTAAAGAGCATAGTGAGGTACGATACAATCTATTCCTCCTTACGAAAAGTAAAGTGGGTTTTAATAAAGCGTCTCTGAGCAATGGTTCTTTGGGGATTTCATCAGTCACTTTGCGTGAAAGGTCAGGAAAATTGCAAATAAGAAAGGAAGAACAATCTGCTAGTGCAGTGTTGATTTGGAGCAGTGCTGCCTAGGAGTTAATGACAGGCTTTGCTTCAACTTCTAATGAAGAAAACCTGCTATTTTCTGAATCATGTTGCACACCAATCAAATTCCTTCAAAATGGTGGGGACTGTTGGGCAAAGCTTCAGTTGCCATAACGTTATCCACATGTCAGGCTTTAAATTCCACCACTTACAACTGGCACCAAGCACAGGGCCAAATCATTCCAAGTTACTAAACTTCAAGGGCTAATGTGCAAACAAACACACTGCAGCCCTAAGCCTGAAAACATTTACAGCAGAAATACTTGTTGGGTGAACTACCAAATTCAAATAAACTGTTCACTAAAGTGTTAAATGCTTCATGACACACTGCCAAAGGCTTGAAGAACAACAAATTACAAACATGGCATTTTTTTGTTTTACTGTTGTTTATAACCCAATCTTCCTACCAGAAAACATATCACTGCTTAGGCTGTACAAAAGTGCAGTTCCATATATGGTGTTTTGCTCAGAAGTAGGAAGCTAACAATCCGGTACAATCAAAGGGAGACAGTCCTGAAATGGAGCGCCCATCATTACCACCATCCTTCTCCTTAAAACAACAAAAAAAGACCCCCAAAACAATTGGACCTTGCAAGCCTAAGGTTGCTCAAACTAGCTGAGGATATTGGAGTTATTCAGGATGTGGTTTGAAGTTTGAAGTTAATTTTTGTATCTGTGGTTTATTCTCTGGTTACATTTGTGTTAAGTGCTTATTTAGCTTTTGTTCTGAGTACAGAAAATGTCAGGTCACCTCGGAAACTCCACAGAAATAACTGTTGCCCATTATCATGGTGTTTACATTAAAAAAACTTGAAAATTAAGCCAGGTTAATGTTTATAATTTCACTAATATATCAGCCCTCCAAATGCAGTTTATTAATTATGGACATCAACCAACACTACCATTAAAACTCCCACAAGGCCCATGATTTACAACTAAAATGAACAAAAATAATTCTGCCTGTATTATACAACAGGACCGCTGCCTGTTTTTATTTACAGAAACATGTAAATTAATATTGACAAGCAGTTGTTTTACATGTATTTTTGAGATAGGATACATCCTGTTGCAACATGTGCTTACAGAACTTTATGCAACATGGCCTTAGATTTTACATTACCACAAATGTTGTGGGCACTCCATTAACTTCAGAAACTCATTTAGGGAAAGTGAAGGGGAGGAGTTATTTCTAAAGCCTTAGGCCAAAAAACCCAGAAGTTCATCGCTTTCAAGCCTGCTTTGTACCGTTAGCCCTTACAAAAATACAGGAAAACATAAATTAGTTCTTGTAAGCTGCTGTTCATAGCAAACCAAATCTTTTTGCTAGATTTGAGCATAAAACTTCTGAGTTCTTTTAATGCTTACAAACATTACATGTTATATATAAACAATTAAATGAAAGCCAGTAAAATGAGGGCACCAAAAGCAGTAACTACAAGTATTGTGTTTACGGCATTGCCAGCGTGTCCTTCGAAATGTGCCTAGTATGGATTATTATGCAGTATTGTATATTATATTACATATTCCATACTTCACTGCCTTTGTTGGTTTTGGCTTGGAATGTATTTTTAATAATATTTTGATGCATCTTTCTTTGAGCACAGATACTGCATACAAATCAAATGTTTACAGAATTTGCAGTAGCAAAGCAATTAGCATATTCTAAATTAAGCCCGCAATGAAAGATTTCTTGCAACTACAAGCAATAGCTATAAATGAAACCTAAGGCAGCGCTAATAGGCCAGAAAGCAGACTGAAAAGAAATGGTGTTGTGACAACATGTAGAAATTAAAGTGATTTAGGACAAACAGCAATTTTGATTTAGAAGAGAAAAAAGATGTTCCTTTCACGTGCTGAGGGTCTTACCTCACAAGAAATATACATTCCACATAAAAGGAAAAAAGAAAAAGGAAAATAAAACACTTTTATAACCACATCATTATGGACAAATGACCTTCAAAAGCATGCTTTGCAATGAAATACAATGAATAATCAACTTGAAAAAATAAAATGTCATCAAGGAAAAATGTGGATCATTATGGTGTAAAACAGAGATGATAGGTGAAAAAAATCCAAAACAAAGCCAAAAACCCTGTTTGCTTTTCATGCCGAAATACTATTTTAAAATTACTTCAGCTTTTTTTGGTTGATGAAAGTTGAAACTGACCCTTACACATACAGTGACGGTTATGAAAAGTGATGACAAATAATCTATTTGATATTTAGTAATAATGCATTTTTACAAGATATGCAGCCTACAGCATTCCCAACTTTAAAATCAATTGGCAGATACTGGCAATTCATTAAGCATTAATCCAATGTGATTTACGTAAATGTAGTCTTCTGTTTTTATAGGTGTGTATTAAATATAGGAACTTAACTAAGAAACTGCATTTCAAGTACTATGCAAATTGAACAAGTTGTTCTTGCATTCATGATTATGTAATTTATTTTGGATGATTCAGTGCTTATTATTATTCAAAACATGCCCAAAGCACTATCATGTTTTTGTCCGTAAATTAATTTACATTACACTCCAACAGTTACATCACAGAGAAGGAGGATATGTAAAATCACTGATTTTTAAATTTGGCCTTCTTTTTCACTATTCACTTGAAATCTCAAATGGCAAATGAAAAATTCAGCATAGCATCAAAGTTTTGGCAATACTACTACTGAGGACAACTAATTCTACTAACAGCAAACTTATTTTAGCTTTTGCTATTAAAATTTGTTTAGTACAAAGATCTAAATCTCCAGGCATATCACTATAAAATTATTTCATAAAGAGGAAACATCTCATTATATCAAGCTCGGCATTAGAAGAAAAGAAAAAGAGGACTCCTTTTACTTACTCCTTAGCAAAGCAATAAAGAATGAATGTACTTTTTTTTTTTTAATGCAAGATGCAACAGAATCCTAGAGTAAGATTTTAGGCATATAAAAATAAGTTTTTAAATGTTTTTTGGTGATACTCATGCACGTGGAGATATATGGATTATTTTCAAATTTCCTCCACCACAACAGACAAGAAAACACTGTCTGTCTTTTGACAGGTAACACTAAAAAAGCAAAGAGAAGGAACTCGCATTCTACTGAAAAATCAGGCTGTCAACTACAAAAGATTTTATCTGGTCCAAATAGTTTAAATGCTCTTGTTTGCTTCTGCAAAGGAAACAACTTCATACATATCACATTTAGACGCTCCTGAATAACAAAGATCTTTCTGTACTAATAAATCCTAATTAGATCTTAGTCATCACAGACACCAAAACATAAAGACTGTATCAATCTGGAGCTCAATGAACATACCTGAGAAATTTCTGGTAGCCAGCATAGTTGTCAAAATGGCCCCCTGTGTACACATACATTTTCTCAAATTAGCATCACACTTGTGTAAAATTCTGAATGTGAACATGACACAACAAAAAGGAAAACACGTGTAAATTACACCAATTACTAAATTAATCCAGAAAGAATGGATTGTCTGCGCATTACCTATCGTGATGCCATGAGTGCATAAATTGTAATTTAATCTTAATCACACACCTATCAGCAATCCTGATAATCTCCTGAGTAAATAATGCCAAACCATGAGTACTCACAGGCACAGTAATTACCAGCAAAATACACAGCTGAATGCAAAACAGACTTTACTAATGTGCTTAGATTGTTTTTTAGGTAGGAAGAGGAGTTTATTTGTAATGTGCTAATTAGAAAAGTTTGCATCTGCAGTTATCCTGTCTGGTCAGGAGTAAGCAAAAGATAATCTAAAAGAATAACTTTAAAGATTTTCCTTCAACAAAGTATTTTTGATGTGTATAAATGAAGATGATTGTTATTATTTGGAATCCAAAGAAATTATGCTATGTTCTAGTCACTTTTGCGAAAAGCTTAAGATCTTCATGCTTAAAAGATCATAATCTATCTAATAGTTCATTTAAGCATAATATTAAAGAAAAAAAACTGCTTAGGGACCATTTGTTTTACAGATGGAGCACAAGCCAGCATACTTTTACCTTTCCAAGATTAGCTACTCATCCCTGCAGAAGTTTTCACTCTTACCTTTAGTTTTCTTCTTGCATTGAATTTCTTCAAGCAATCTACAGTCTCTTGTCTGTGCATCATAGAGGCAACAGTAGAACGTTGCTAAGAGAAGAAGAAAAGAAACATTTTAACGCACCCAGCCAGACGTCAAGCATTTTACTTACTCTACAACATACATATTACAACCCACATGGTCCAAACCCTAGGCCTTTAATTTCTACCCTGTCTGACTATCCCTATGTGCATATTTCTACACATTGGGGAAATCTCCAAATCACCAAAACCAAAGGTCTCATTTTACTCAGCCTTTCCCATGTGTGAAGTCCTCTTGAAAGAAATAAGGACTAAGAAAACCACAAAATCTGAGAACTTTGGTTACACAGTATAAACACAGGCAAAGTAATATACTGAATTATGATTTTGGAAAATACGTTTTAAAACACAAAAGAAACATTACTTTAGCATTAGTGGTATTAGGTGAGGTACAGCAGCAGGAAATGTTTCAGGGAAAATTCAGCGGTACCTGCATTTTCCCTGTAACTCAATCTGCATCACAATTTTAAAGGCAAGACAATACATCCTACTGGAATGAATAGAGCCAGGAACCAGCTATATGCCTCACTGTGACTTTCAAAGTATCAGTCCAGAGTACCTGCAAAGTCAAATTGCAGAATGTACTGAAAACTGGAAATTAGTCCTGGATCCAGTAACAGATAGGCAGTCTGTGCTACCTGCAAATTGGCTTTTAAAAAGTCCCTTAATTTCCTGCCTTTACATTTCATGCTTATCATAATGGTTATAGGGAAATGAAGATGTAAAACATCATCTTACTGAAAATCACTTTCTTGTACATTTTTTTAATGATGATTTAAAATAATGCTCTGACTTTGGAACATTTGCACCACAAAGTCAAGGCAAAGGAGTTCGTTTCTGCAAAAAATCTTATCCGAGGCTGAGACCTCAATATACAACACTACTGACTGTATCTGTACAATTACAATCTTATGCTCCCATAGTTACACAGCTGCACAAGTAAGGACAAAAATTACCTTCTAAACACCTTCGCTATATACTGAAATAAACCATAAACTGATCTGTCGGCCGAATTAGTCTGTTAAATGTCTGGAAATTACTTACACAGATCCATGGATGCTTTAGTGCTTCTGATGCTGTGATACGTTTTGCTGGATTGATGGTAAGCATTTTATTGATAAGGTCTTTTGCTTCAGGAGTCACTGTATCCCATTCTGGTGAGGGAAACTTAAGAAAAAATACATATGTGTATATTACCTTGTACAATTTCTACACAATTTTACCTAAGGATTTTTATTAATAATATTTCTGTAACATTACTTGCTAACAGAATTTACCAGATTTAAGGGGGAAAAAAGCCTGCCACCATCAGAAAAGTTTGAATTAGCCAGTTTTATAAATAATGGTTTTCTCCTTTACTGTTTTGAGCTTTTATTTATTTGGTTCAGATGCACAGCATTTCTATATTTTCAGTAACATGATGCCGACTAAAATTCATAGCATAAAATAACAATGGCACACAGAGTAACAGGTTCCAGTCATTTGAGAGGCATATGGTCATACAGCACTTAATACAGCCCTAGTTTCTCTTTTAATGAAGATAAAAGTTTTGAATTTGATACTATCTAGGCACAATACGTCACAAGTAGGTACTATGTATGTACAATACAGATGCATAGTTCAGTCTCGGCACTTCCTCATTTCTTGCCCTCTTGGCTGAAATCATAATTCCCCACTGTCACCCTGTTTGTTACTGTATGATTACTTCTTCACTAGGAAGAAGACTTGACAGACTATAAGTTTATTTTCAATAAAAGGCCACAGCATAACGATTCCCTTTTCAGTCATTGCAGTCCAGGACTGGATTCAAATAAGAGCCTGAAAATGATAAGGTTCTCTCTTTTCCTCTTCATCATTCACAACTTACTTACATCTGAGGATCAACGGCCTTCTGTCTGTTTAATGTAATATAAATGAATAATGTTGCAAAATTCATAATGTCACCAAATCATCAGTTCTTACTTACCAACAGTTGTAATGCTTTTTGTTGGAATACACATAGGTAATGAAATTATTCCTTTTGAAAAACTCTATAGCAGCACGTGTTTTGAAAAGTGGGTGACAACAGCATCAAGTTGTATATTTAGGATGCTTAAGACTTCTTAAAAACAATTTAGAATAACTCACCAGTTGAAGTGATAAACCACAGGAAAAATACACGCCTTTGGGAGATCACAGAGGTCTGAAGTGGTTTGTCAGAATAACATAAGCTTGCATGATTTATACAAGGAACAGACAATGAAAACTTGGAGCCATAAGGAAATAAGATTTAAACTAGCATAGGATGTTCCCATCCCAGTAAGTTTCATGTCACTGAAGTGACATTCGCTATATTGAGTGGCTCATAAAGATAACCAATACAAAAAAAATTAGAAAATAATTCTGATTTCACTTTTCACTCTAGAAAACTCCTATCTAGAGGTACAATTACAAATAATTGAATATACAGAGTAAGGTACATACATCATAAGCACCAGCCTTGATCTGCTGGTAAAGCCGGTGCTGATCTTCGTCCCAGAAAGGAGGATAACCCACCAGGAGGATATACAGAATGACACCTGCAGAAAATTCACAGTAGTATTAAGCAATTTCAAGAAACAAACCCCAGAAATTCATTTTGCACCTGTCAACCATGTAAAAGAAATGGCTCAGCAGTATTATCCCAGCTACTGAAAAATATTGCCTACTCATACTGGAGAAAATAGTAAATGTCGGGTTCACAAGATAACCTCCCATGCAGACTGCGGGCAATAATGAGTATCCAACAAAACATCAGATCAGGAACACTGAACATGTCTAGCTAGCCAGATAAATAATGTTCATTGATCACGGATGTTCTAGGAAAATGCATTTTTTACCTCTGTTTTTATCATGGCTTGTACTGGTGTCTGTAAGATTGTGTTTTATGTAATCTCATGCAAAGAAAATTTGGGCACCTCAATTCATCTGTATAAATATGTGGTCAATATGAAATTAAAAAGTCCATCTGCTAGTCTTACAGAGATGATTCACTATAACTAAAGTGCTTTCATAAATATAACCAAGTAAGTTTGCGTAGAAGGAAAATAAGGAAAACACCAATTGTTTTCAGCTAGGCAGCTGCCGCTTGCCAGTACCTGAACTACACTGTTTCAAGAACTGGATGATGAAGTAATTGCTCTCTGCTCCAATCCACACAACATTTAGTTTCACAGTTTAAAACTGCAGTTCTAGTACATTGGTCATATGAGGTTTTAGGCTGCTCATGAACCAAAACTAAGGCCCAGCTCACAGTATGAATTGCTATGTTTTCTAACTAATTAGGCATCAGGCACCTGCAGCTTTTTTTTTAATATTTTGTGAAAGTGTGTTGTATAGACATGTCCCAGAATGCCATGATAACATATCTTCACAAATGACAATGATAATAATCAGCTGGTAGAATTACAAAAGATCCAGTGAGCTCTTCTAAAAATTAATATTCAATTTTACTAAATACATATTATCTGATGAAGAATATAATGTATTCTGGATATCACCTCTCTCCCTCAAAATACTTTACGGTGGACTGAACACCATCTTTCAGAATCATTTCTTACCACATGCCCACATATCCACAGGCTTTCCATAAGGATCTTTTCGTAACACCTCTGGAGAAAGGTATCCTGGAGTACCAGCAAAGCCTGTCAAAAGGCAAGGCGAGTATTCTCAAAAGTTGCACATGCTCTGCACAAATCAAATGATTCTCATCTCAGCCCACAAGACTCAGGATATTATTTCCCAAGCCATCGACCACTAACCACTTCCTTTTGAACTTTTTGTGGCAAATCACCTAGAGGTAACAATAATGGGAAAACTTATGCAGACTCGGCACATCCCTTTCTGCCACCACACCTGGTAGAGTCGAGAAGACAGCAAAAAGCCAGCTGGTTACCCACCTACACTAGCACTTCAGATTCACCAGTAGTGTCAAGACCTGGTGACAATGCAGCAGTGGAGGGTTTCTGGAAAGATTACAAGCTAGCTGATGGAATTTCTCTCTTGATTTCTGCATTACTGTAAGTCGTAGCGAGACATCCAGCAGTGAGGTGCGAACACATTTGGCTCAGGGTCAAGGTCAAGAAAGTTGGCAGAGGAGGAGTGTGAGAAACATTATCTGAGTGATCCCCTTGGAGATACCAACTGAAAGAAAATTCACACCACGCATGCCAAAGACTGTTACTGTTTTGTTTTTTTTTTTAATCATTAGCCTGATGTGGCCTATTTTAAAACAGCCCCAAACTATAAAAATTAAGACCATAAAAACATGACTTGCATGGGATTTCTGGTGAGTCCATCAGCTGTCAGCTGTGGTGCTACTTTTGGCTGGGACAGAGTTAATTTTCTTCCTATTAGCTAATATGATGAGGCTATGTTTTGGATTTGTGCTGAAAACAGTGTTGATAGCACTGAGATGTTTTAACTATTGCTGAGAAATGCTTGCACGGAGTCAAGGCCTATTCTGCTACTTGCACCACCCCACCACATCCCATGTAGGAATTCCTACATGGGAAGTAGTGCATGAATTCCTTGTTTTCCTTTACTTGCACACGCAGCTTTTGCTTTACCTATTAAACCGTCTTTATCTCAACTCATGGGTTTACTCAATTTTACTCCTCTGATTCTCTCCCCCGTCCGACCAGGGGGGATGAGTGAGCAAGTGGCTGTCCAGTGCTGAGCTGCTGGCTGGGGTTAACTCATGACAGCTGTGAAGACTATGATCACACACAGAGTACTTCCACTGACATTCATGGGGAACTAATTAACAGCACAGAGGGGCAGCTAAGGTGCAATATCGTAACTGTAAGTTGCCCTTAAAGATCCCTATTCAGTCTTACAGGAGGGTGGATTTCTGAGCAAACAACATGTAGGGCTAGATTTAAGTAAAGCTTATGTATGGAGAGATCTCTCATTCAGAAGAAAAAAAGAAAGTAAAAACACTGTTCAAATTTCTTCACACAAGTTAAGTGGAAACTCCATTCAGCCAATGCCAGATGGCGGCAAAGTAAATGCTCAGAGATGTTCAGGATTAGCTTTCGCACAAGCACAACGGGCTATGGCTCAGTATGAAGACCACCGACTTAGGACTCAAGCCTTCTTACAGCCTTTGCTGTTTGTATTTCAGCTACTTCTAATGTGATCTTTCCACTGCAAAACTAATTTCCGTGAAGTCATTCCACTTCTGGAAACCTCCTTACAAATGTTCACAAGCAGCACCTCTGAAGTAAGCTAGCCTTTAAAATTTCTATGTTCTTCATCCTTTATTCATTACCAGCAGTGCTGCCTTCTCTTAGGAGAAATGCAAAATGTAGATATAAATGTAGACTTTTCTTAGGACAGTGTAAATGATAAAAACTTAATGACCAATAACATTCTGTACCACTTCAGTTAGCACGTCTGTTCTTTCAAGCATCTTTGGCTAAAATAAATGCTTGGGAATTCTTGAAAGGTGAGAATTTGGTGGCTTTCATGAAGGACCACATATCATTTCTGAAACACCACACTGGATTCCACAAAACTTATAGGAGATGGTGATAATGTATAAAGTGTATAGCTACAGAAAAAGGCGGCCTTTGCCCTGAAGCTGGCAATCATTTTAGAGTGGGAGGAGGAAATGAAGGAACACATTCTGTATATTCTACTGAGAACACAGCTAAAATATTTTCATGAAAAATAAGCCTGTTTTTTGCAGTCTCCTGATATGAGCTATGAATTGTTAAAGAGTACTATCATACAGGAAACACATCTTCAGTTCCTTTGAGAAGTTCAAAAATATACGTTCTAAGTAGCTTTAAATAGAGTGGTGTTTTGTATTTCTTCTCAGCTGTAGTGCTCTACATTCATACTTTTGTTCCTTTTAAAGGGGAAGTAAAGTTGCCTCGACTTTCAAACTCACCATAGGTCCATAAACATTACTAAGCATCACTTGAAAATAAACTTTAAAGCTAGTACTTAGCTAATTTTATCTCTTGATGATGATACAGAAAGGGTCTAAACAGACATGATTGGTATGGTTTCAGTACATATTCTGAAGCTGTTTCAAGCAGCAAACATAGAAGAGTGCACAGTCATGATTTCAGTGAAAAAGAAAAAACATATTGAAATTGGTAACTGTTATTTATCAGGTAATTCTGTAATTGCTCAGAGGGATCCCAACACGAGTGTGTACTTTTCAGAAAACTATTGCTGATAGCAGTAATTACTTTAGCTCAAACAACTTGCAAAGCTGGGAACTGTGACTGTACAGTGTCTAGAAAAGACTGCATCACCTTGTACTGCTATCATCGCATGATTTAAATAAGCATGCAGAGGCCCAAGACAAATGCCATGCTTTGTCAAGTTCAGTGGTGGATGGGTACATGAGATGGCATGTTACTCACCCTAAATAGCTTACAGTCTCAAAACCCTCTTACACAAAGATTACATATATACTTAACTTCATAAATAGTGAGCATGCCTCTTGAGTCAAACCTGGATTGAAGGTTAATTATAATCCCACAACATAAACTTAATTGAATGCAGAGAAATGCATCTTAAACACACAGCTAAGATCTGCCCTACACCTTCATCACCCCCCTACTAGACTTCTGGCCTCTCAGCACTACTCATGCAAGGATTCCAAAATAAAATGGTAAAACAAACCAGGTTAGTTGAAACAGTGCAAGCTGTGTATCTTTGCTAACATACCTCCCTTTCACTTAACAATAAAAATTCAAATGAGCAGTCTGGTGAGAAGATACGGAGAAGATGGCAGCAAAGTGCAAGTGCAAGCAGCTGAGAGTAACTACAGGGCAGCAGCCTCGTCCCGCACAGCTGGATCCAAAAGACTAACTGTACACAACCTAAATTTAATGGAACTAGCAAACTAATTCAGTGAAGCTACTCAAATGACTTAAGTGGTGCATATTTTAGTCCTAGTTGGAAGGCTGGACTTAATTTAAGCTGCAATGCAACTATAACTAAATGCAGCTACCAGTGAATTAACTGCAGTCCTTTGACTGACTTCAGCAAGGAGTCACCTGCCTGGGTGAGGCAGCGGAGCCCGCCTGACACCTTCCCGGTACGTTAAACACCTGCTAGCAGGCTGCAGTGTTTCAACTAAACCCTGTAACATTTTCTGCAAACAGGCAAGGAACAGGTTTGTTTCGCAAACATGACTGCTTAAGCAAAAAAATGACCACAATAGAAGACCACACCCCCCAGAAAAAAAGAAAAAAAAAAAGAAAACCATATTGATGCAGAGCTATAATTAGAATCAGAGCACACCATGAGTCACTAAGTGCTGCAGAATCCAGTGGAAAGCAGAAAGATCTTTTGGAAAGAAGTGAGAGAAAGTTCAAAACGTCGAGCACATCAGAGTTCATGTTCTGCCCTGTCAAAGCAGGCGTAAGAAGGCAGGCGTTCAGACCAATACTGAAAGGTTTTGCAGACAAAATTACAGAAAAGGCACAGACCCCCCCAGTCTTACTGAATGCCACAAGTTAAAAAAAAAAAAGAGCCACATTAGACCACTTTCTTTCTACTACCTTGCTGCCATCTTACATCTTCCTTACACATATATTTTGAAGACATTCCATTCAATCGCCTTTCTACCAAGTTCAGCATGGCAGTCCTCAGGATGCTACGAGTCTAAACCAAGCACTTCACACGAACCAAATGACCAAAAAATGAAGTGCAAGTTTTTAAGGGGAACTGCAAGCTTCTGTGCACCATCTGCATCCATGCAGATGTATTATCTAGAGGAAATATCACTGAAGTCAAGTTCAGTCTGCTGATTCTTCCTTGAGATGCTTCCTGTTTACCTCATGTTTTTGTCTTTATAACAAATCACTTGTGTTTTGTCTTGTTTCTGTTCCACTCCTTTTGTAGTGGTCTATTTGTTAATGTGCAAGAGCAATCTCCTCTGTCTTTTGTGGATTACTGAAATCCATTTATATAAAGGCTGGGATTTAAAACAACAGACTAGCTTATAAAGTTACCAACATATGTCCATCGGTACTGCCTGTGCATCCACATCTAGTTAAATCCTAGATTTCAAACACTCAATCTCTCAACCCACTGCCTGCACAAAATCCTTTGTGCTTTCATTCTCAGCTTTGACAGCAAGCTCACAATTACTTTGTTTAATTTTAAACTGCACTATCTAGCTGCTGTAAGGGAGAATAGGTAGCTGCCATAAATATTTTATCCTGTATTTTTTCCTCCTGGGATTTACAAGAAATTTTGTCCTGTGCTTCACATCTGTTCCAAGAGGTTGGTATGTGAGACAGATGCATCACGTTTGTACATGTCCTGTTATTTAAAATGACCAGTATTAAATTTTTTTCACCATTTTCCTTTGGGCATCTGTTAACTGTAACGAACAATCTGCAATTAACCTTTTCTTAAAAAAAAGATGAATACTTCAGTGGAACTGGAGAGAAGTGCATCATAATTAATTCACTACCCCCTATCCTCTTCTTGTAACCTGAAGCAGAGAACTGAAGGCAATCTGGACGCCCACAAATCCATGGACCCCGATGGAATGCACCCACGAGTGCTGAGCGAGCTGGCGGATGTCGTTGCTGAGCCACTCTCCATCATCTTTGAGAGGTCCTGGAGGACAGGAGAGGTGCCCGAGGACTGGAGAATGGCCAATGTCACTCCAATTTTCAAAAAGGGCAAGAAGGAGGACACAGGGAACTACAGGCCGGTCAGCCTCACCTCCATCCCGGGAAAGGTGATGGAGCAGCTCATTCTCGAGGTCATCAACAAGCAAGTAGAGGAAAAGAAGGTTATCAGGAGTAGTCAGCATGGATTCACCAAGGGGAAATTATGCCTGACCAATCTGATAGCTTTCTACGATGGTGTGACTGGCTGGGTAGATGAAGGGGAGAGCAGTGGATGCTGTCTACCTAGACTTCAGCACGGCTTTTGACACTGTCTCCCATTACATCCTCCTAGGGAAGCTCAGGAAGTGAGGGCTGGATGAGTGGTCGGTGAGGTGGATTGAGAACTGACTGAATGGCAGAGCTCAGAGGGCTGTCATCAGCGGCGCTGAGTCTAGTTGGAGGCTGGT